CCGCATGAGTTCGATTCCCGCCTGCCCCGGAGTTGACACATGGCTGGCAGACATCTCCTGACCCGCCCGCTGCTCCCCTCAGCCGTGTACTTCGTTGATCTGCCTGTTCTGCTCCCTGCTCCCTGCTCCCTGTCTCTGGTGAATCCTCTCACCCTCTGCATCTCTGGCCTATACCCCAGTTCTGTATGCATAAATAAAAAAAAAATCTTTAAAAAAAGAAAAGGAAAAAGAAAAAAAGATCAATTTTTAAAAGGAAACAAAAAAGAAAAAGAAGGGAAAGGAAAGAAAACAAAATGGAAAAAGGAAAAGCAGATGAAAAATTAATAAAACAAAGATGAACCTTGGCCAAACCAGGGACTGAGGCTGCTTCCTGGCATGGCTCAAGTCTCCTCGAGGCCTGTCGCCAGGAGCCCAAAAGCCCCTACCCTGGTCAGTCTCGCCCTCCATCCTAGAACCTGGACCTGGGTGGGCAGAAAATCAGCCGGGCAGGAGACAACTCATCCATGGAATCGGGTGGCGACCCAGAATCAGCCCACATGTTCCTGGTGGGCTGCAAGACTCACACCACCTCCTTGCCTTCTCTGCATGGGTTTTCAGGATCTTTCCAACTTGTCATGCCACAAGCCCCTGCTTCAAACCTCAGCCCCCATGGCCTGCTTTTCCCTGCCATCTCAGAGAGGCTAGCAAAGTAGTCAGGGATGTGGATTCTGGAGCCAGGTTCCCTGAGCTTGTATCCTGGTCCTGCTACTAATAACTGTGACCTTGAGCAAGGCGCTGCCTTGTGCCTCAGTTTCCCATATATGATGGAGTTACAAATAGTACTTACCTCATTTGGTGGTTTTGAGGTTTGAGTTAGGAATCTATCAATAGGAGTAACTAACACATATGTGTTCCTCACTATGAGCCAGCTGCTATTCCAAGGCTGTTCTATCAACTCATTTATATAAACAATGATGCATTATGTAAAGTATTTAGAGCAGTGCTTGGCACTCGACAAATGAGAGCTGTGATTCTTGACATCTGGAGGTCTCCGAATTGGAAGATCCTCCTAAGAACAGCCTCTAGCTGGGACTAGTGTGGGCACAGCTTCCAACAGCCTGACAGGCTACATTTGGCTCTTAGTGGGAACTTCGGGCCTTGTTAGTTAGACATTTCTCACTATTTGCAGCTACCTGTGCTCCTGAAAGTCCACAGTCATACTTCTGGCTCCCTTTCTTCTCTTCTCTCTCTCGGCAGTGAGCGCCTGTTCCCCAGACTGACGGTACACCCTTCCGCAGCCTTCTTTTCACAGGGCTGAAGTTGGTTTGCAAGACCTGATGCAAGTCCACCATCTACTTTTCAAGGGCCCTTCATCTGTCTGGATGTCTCTGAACGTGAGCACACAATCCCTGGTGTGGCTTGATATTGCAAAATATCAGGTCTAGGCTGGCATTCTATCCCCTCCCTAATTCTGGACGCTGTATCTCTATTAATGCAGCCTGGGATGGTGCCACTATGGCTCTTCTTCCACCTACTCAGGACACTGAGTTTGCCAACAGTGGAAGACCAGTGGACAGGAGTCTCCCTAACTCTTCTCTAGGATGGAAGACCTGGAGACCTGGGGGTCTGTTTCACTTTAGATCTAGAGAAATCCCTCTGGTTCTAGATCCCCCACCTTGCCCTCTGAAATCCCATCGCTATGTGAGGGGCTTACCCCTCCCACAGGTATTTAGAAGCCACCTCTGGCAAACTCAGTGTCCTGAGTAGGTGGAGGAAGAACCAAAGTAGGCCCCATCCCAGGCTGCATTAATAGAGATACAGCGTCCAGAATTAGGGAGGGGATAGAGTGCCAGCCTAGACCTGATGAGTGTTATTCCAGACAACACAGAAGTTCTCCTGTACAAAACTGAGACACAGCTGGGGCCCCAGATAGGTTAAGGGTTTCTCTCAATGTCACACAACATGCAAAGGTTGAAGTGGGATCAGCAACTCTTGATGGAGATTTCCCAGAATGTCTCTGTCCAGGTCTAAGGCAGCTCATTGGGCTGAAGAGGAAATGAATTATTCACGGAACTGACCAGGCGGAGGCAGAGAGGATGCTGGCAGAGTCACGTGCAGCTCAGAGAGCAAGAGGCCTGAGCACTACGCCAGAGGGGCTCTGAAATATTAATGTCCCTTTCTTGCACAGGGGCACATGTTCCCTGGAGGATGACATTTCTAATTAACTTTAATGACAGGTCAGGATCCACCCCACCAGCAGCTATTCTCACTTAGTAAGAAGACTTAACAAATTAACACCGGAAATGGTTCTCTGGAAACTTTCTCTGAGACTTAGACAAGCAGGGGGAGACACAGGGTTCTTCTTCTGCCAACCACAGGAGAAGACTATGGGTGAGCCAGTCTCTGCCTCAGAACATGACCTTTTCTATATGGAGAAACTGAGCCAGAGAACAGGGTCCCCCGGTCTTTCATTAATCAATGAAAGGTACCCACTCTCCAGTGTGGGCCTCAGGTGCCCTCTATAAGAGGGGCACAGGTAAACTAAAATTCAAGACTTCACAGATGTTCCTTTCCTGATCTTTCTAAAGCACTGGGAAAAGATTGCAGACGCCAGGCTTCCGGGATATACCAGACCCATCTCCCCAGGTGGAAAATGTCTTTGACAGCCCACAGTTTACATTACTAGTGCATGCACATTTTTCATTGCCTGTCCAAATATTTCTCTGTCTGTTTAACGTATAAATATTTGTCTTAAAACAATCTTTGCATAAAATTGATGCTCCAAGAAAATGTCATGCAGCTTCTTTGCCATTTAACCACAAACTCCATTTTGGAAAAAGAAATTGTGAATTGTTAAATAATTACCAAGTGCCAAATACGTGGGAACACAGCCTCTGGCCCGCACAGCAATCCTCTGAGGTTAGTACTATCATGATCACCCCTTTACTGTTAAGAAAAGTGAGGCTCAGAGAGGTTGAGTGAGTTGTCCAAGGGTATCCAGCAAATGGGCTTCAGTGAGGAAAACATAGCCAGCTCACCTCCACGGTCCCTGTCAGCTCTGAGACCAGAGGCACACGGTCACTTTGAGTCTCTCAACAAATTCCCAGCTAACTGTACCAGCGGGCCAGTGAGCCTTAACTCGGAAGAATGTCTTAGAAATGCCACATCGCAGACCTATGGAATCAGAATCTGCAGCAGCAGGGTGGGGCACGTGGATATAAAATCATACTTGAGAACTTAGACTGCACACTTTAACAGGGAATTCTTCAAGATGATGTATTTTGAAAGACTGTCCTGAGTGCATCATAGAAGACAGATTTGCTCCAGGGCCAGGTAATGGGCTTAGAGCAACACCCCACCCAGCTGTGAGTGAGGTGGGCATACTGGGGCCTGTCTTCCAGGGCCCCTTGGCAGAGCCAGGGTAAGTCACGGCATCTGAGGCATCGAAACCGCCCTAAAGCCTGACTTGTGACTGCAGGAATATGTACTATTTAGAAAAATGCTCTTTCACCCATCATTGTATTTATTAAGAGCAAAATATCTAAACTCCTGAAAAGTTTAAGCTGGTACCACTGCATGCTCTCCAGATCAGTGTGTTTTCTCAATGTCAGAAACTCCTCAGGTGGCTCTGACACACACTCCGGGGTATGAAGTTCTCTGTGCTCGGAGGCTACCTGTCCTGGAGAACATAGGCCACATGCAGGCAGCACAGAGGTGTCATGACATCACTAACTCGTCCAAGCAGCAGGGTTTCCGAAGAAGAAGTCCATGCTCACTTTAGTACCAAGTGCACCTTCACACTGCTCTGGAGGTGCAGTGCTCACAGATCACGCTGCCGGGTTCAAGTCCTAACTCCCCCCAGTGAACCCTGGGACCTTGAGCTAACGACTCAACTTGTCACTTTTCTGGGTTGTAAAGTGGGGTTCACCACAGTTCCAACCTCAGAGTGTTACTGTGAAATTCAGTAAACAGAAAGCACTTGGAACAAGCACATAGCCAGGGTCCGTAAAGGCAGCCATTGCTCAGATTACTGTTGCTGACTATTCTGTCTCTTAGGATCAGGTCACAGTTGATTTCGTTTACAAGATCTGACTCAAGCCTGACATCTATTCTTTAAGGGTTCTTGACCAGTCTGGATGTCTAAGTGTCAGCACACAACACCAGGTATGATTTGATGTTGCAGGTCTAAGCTAGCACTCCCCAATTCTGGACTCTATAGTTCTATTAATGAATGCAACCTGGGATAGTGCCTAACTTGGCTGCGCTAACATTGCAAGATCTGGGGGGGTCTGGTGATTCTTAGATTTGAAGACATTCCCTTTGGTTCAAGTAGCCTCCCAGGCCCTCAGCAGCCCCGCTACTGTGCGAGGGGCTTATTAGTATTTAGTATTTAGTATTTAGTATTAGTATTTAGGGTATTTAGTAGCAATCTGACATTTCTGATCGGCCAGTTATTCACTCGGACAGCCAAGGAATGTTTTTTTTTTTTTTTTACAAAGCTGAGGCAAAGTCGAGGCTCCAGAGAAGTTAAGATACAATCTCAAAGGCACACAGCATACCTAGGCTGAGGTGGGATCAGCAACAGGGTCACAGTTCTCTGGGGTTTTGTTCCTTCATCCATCCATCTGAGGACTTTTGTGGCCCAGCTTTTGGGGTTGGCCTGAGACCAGCTTCCTCATATTCTAGTCAACTGAACTTTCGCTGTCCTGCCCTTTACTTTGCATGTTTTAAAAATCAACTCACTTTCAAAAATTCAAAGACCGTTCAAAAGGAACATTTCTACCACTACTATACATTTGTGATTTGGATGGGTTAAATTAATTTTTTCTAATTACGTACTGAAACAACCGTTAGGATAGGAAAAGTTTATATATGTACCCCTTGGGCACTGAGTGCCCCCCCAAGGGAACAACACCCCACAGAGGGCCCAAGAGGCTAATTGAGGAGGGAGAGGGCTGAATTGCTCCCCTCTGCCCAAGGCCAAGTTCACCGTCACAGATGTATCCCAGCACCTAAGAAGGCCTTAGGCCTGACACCTCTGACCTAAGGAGTCAGAGCGGGCTGGTGAGAGGTAGCTGGACACAGGTCAGCACTGCGGCCCTCTCAGGGCTGGTGTCCTCAGTGAAGGGGCCTGCCGGGAGGCCCGGGGGCCCAGTCGCCAAAGGCAAGGCCCCCCCTACCTTTGGTGTCTTCATCCTCAATGGTGGTATTGGTGCTCTCAGAGGATTCCTGCCAAAGAGAACATGGGACTCGGTGAGGCCTGATGGGCAGCAAGGTGAGGTATGGCCAGTTGGGGGCTGCCCTGCAGCCCTAATGCGGTGGCCCGGTTTCTGTCAGCCTCGCAGGCTCTGCCATCCAGATGCTGCACTGAAAACCTGCCAGACCTCCAAGCCTGAGGGGGATGGGCCCAGCTAGGCAGGTGGCTGGCAGTGGGGGCTGTGTACGGAGGGAGGGCTTCGAGGAGAACCCTGGCCTTTCTGGAAGGGCTGGGAGGGGGCTCTTGTATTCTGTCTGCTCAAAAGCAGACAGCAGGGGAGGGGGAGCAGAGAGGCACGTGGCGGCCACAGAATGGGGGAGGAATACACACACTGGCAGGAGAGGAAGAGAGAGAGAGAGGAAGGCCCAGTGTGAGAGCTTTTCAGTGGGAGAAAAACCACGCAACTGAGTGAGACAGCAATGGAATCAGAAGAAGAGGGACATGGGCCACCATGCCACCACTGGAACCCCTAGACAGAGGCCGGGGCTGGTGGTCCCTCTGCCACCGGCGGGCCCTGGGTAGCCTTGCAGAAGCTCAAGAGTAGCCTCCGCTGCGCCCACTACTTAGGCCAAACCAAGCGCCACCCTAGCTGCAACTGGCGCCAACCGAGCCCTGCGATGAGGGCCAGAGCAGAGGGGCAGGAGAAGCGAGAAGCCGAGAGCTGGACATGGGATGGGGTCATATCACCCTTCGGACTGGAGGGTGTACTCAAGTCTACCATCAGGCTGCTGGTCTTGGCCATGGAGTTGGAGGTGTCAACAGAAACACGCAAACAACACACACACGCAACACACATGTTGTCACACAAGGCACACATACCAAGCACGCCCTGCGCACCCGCTCCCCGCCCCGGGTTCCCGGTGCAGCCTGCAGAAGGGAGGCAGGAGCGAGGGTTCGAGGCCCAGCATTTACCGGCGTTTGGGAGACGGCAGACACTCACCATTAACTGAACGCTGGAACTGGACTTTCTTTTCTGGAAAAACAAGGAGAAGAGATGGGACAGGAAAAGACACAGCGTGAAAACGGCAGGGAGCGGAGGAACGAATGACAGGGAAGATTCAGGAGGAGGATGGGCCTCAGGGTCATCCTCTATGGCCCTTTGCCAGAATGGTAGTGCAAAGAGTCAAGGGCACCAGCTGCCACTGACTTGGTCGGGCCAGTTCTCTCTCCGCCTGAAGTCCTGGGGTCACACACACAGCAGTTCAAGCTCCAGGTCAAGCCTCCTGGACAGGGCAGCCTTCTGCACTAGATTCAGTAGGGGAAGCTGCCTAGGACCTAAGATCCAAAACTTTTGGACAAAAGGCCACCCCAATCCGGAGCTGTGGCCCCAGTTTCCTAGACTCCCTGGATATCCTGTAGAGGGAATCCCACTCCTGATTTGGCTGAGAGCTCTAGTTACTAGAGAAACTTGTCAAAAATACGCAAAAGCAGGAGTTCAGTAACTATGTCAAGAATAGGGTGTAGGCCTCTCCCTTTCCGAAGCAGGGTCAGGTGTGGGCACCGGTCCCCTGAGTGGCCTTTGAAATCCTGCTCACATTCTCACCTGTCAGTGACTGCCTTAGAGAAAGAAACTGAGGCAGAGCCAGAAATAAAGCTGAGCCCAGAACTTGAGTCTTTGGGCGCGGCCCTTTGGCCTCTTCTAGCTTTGGAGAGACTTGGCTGTGAAGGCAGGGAAGGAGAGAAAGGAAGAACCGATGTAAATGATTTTCTCCCTCTCTTAGCTCTGAGCCAGGAGTCTTAAAGACGTGCATTCGTTGAGGTAGCAGCTCCAGCCCAACACTTGCTTTGGACAGATAAGAAACTAGGGCCCAGAGAGGGGTGGAGACTTGCTCAGCTGGGGGCTGCAGGGCAGAAGCTGGAACCCTGAGTGCAGGGTCTCTCTTCTGTCCCAGTGTCTGGGCACCCACTGCCTGACACCTCTACACAGGCCTGGCTTTCCGAGATATACTTCTATTAGAGAGGCCAGGAAGCCTCTCGCCACACGTGAGGAGAGCAGTAGGGAGGCGGGAGATGCCCTCAGGGGAGGCATGTGCCAGGAGGGAGGCACTGAATTTCCCTGAGGGTCCTAGAGTCTAATTTTGGGCTTTCTGACTTTGAGATCCAGGTGCCCTGAGTGTTAGGAACATAGAAGCCTGTCTGTCCGGACATCCAGGGCCCCCACAGACGTGGCAGGGGGGCTCCCTGGGCACTGCCAGTGTCAACGCTCCCAGCCTCACATCTGTCCCAGTGGGCCGGGCAGTGGGCCGTCCAATCACAGCCACGGCCAGCCGTCCCTCCTCTCCTGGTGCCGGCTTTGCTCCCAGGTGGAGCAGGGCCAGGCCCACTGTGTTTGGGAGGGGACAGGCCACACAGCTCGGCAGAGCAGAAACCTGAGGAACCGCACGGGGCCAGGAAGTTCCAGGCAGGACACGAGGGGGAACACAGAGCAGAGACTGCATCAGATCCGGACGCACAGTGACAGGATGGGACATGGGGGAGGGTCACGACGGCACGGATGGGACACCGACTGGGCAGTGAGTGGGGTTAAGGGCTGGGAGGAGCTGGCCCCGCCTCACAGATGCAGAGGCCTGGGGAGCTGAGGGCTGGCCTTGCTTCTTGGCTATAGAAAGACGAGTTCCCAGAGTCACAGATGATGACGGTACCAACCACAGCCTGGCGGACCAGCACTTAGCTTTCACCAAAACAAGAGTCACATCTCTTAGAACCACAAGGAGAAGCTTGGTTCTAAGGCTACAAGGATGGTGGAAATGGAGAATGGTTGAAGTTAGCCTCACAGAGCCCCGCAGACCCCAAAGGCACGGTCTCATGTCATGGCTCCACACGCCTGCAGCCACTTTTCGTCCAGCGTTGGAACCGACCTCTGTTCTTCCACTAAGCCCCAGATGAAACAATGGTTTGCCACTAGGGACTGAGTTGTGGGAAGAACATGTCTCCCCGTTTGACGGAGCCCGTGTTGGCTTAAGGACCCCACCTGGCCATGGGTACGAGCCTCCCTCCAGCTCCCCACACGGCGGCCAGACCTGATGACCCAGGTCCCTGAGGAGGGAGCAGTGGGGCTGGGACTCAACCCACAGCTTCTTGACCTTAGATTCTGTTTCAGTTGTGTTGAGAACATAAGTGTCACCTCCACCCCGCGGGTGACACACTGCAAGCTGGGCTCCCCAAGTCCCAGGCAAGGGCCCCTGAGATACTCTTATCTTCCAGCTGGACTTGCCCTCTCTTGTGCACTAAGGACAGGAGGGAGACTGTGCTTCAAAGACACAGTTGGGCCAGGATGAGCCTTCAAGCTTCTGTCCATCCACACCCAGGCCACCCTGAGAAGTCACTCAGAGCCTGTCCACTGCAGGGAGCACAGGCGCCCACTGGAAAGCCCCTCGGGTGACCAGGTAGAGCCCTGTGTGCTTCCACCTCTGGTCTTGCAGACAGGAGCTTTTCCCAAGGACTCACAGAAGGAAGCCCTACCTCACACCCAGGGGCTCTGCCCGGGGCCAGATCAAGAGCCCAGCAGCCATGGGGGAACTGCCCACTGTCCCTTCCGCCACTGACCCGGATCACAGCCCAACGGTGCCTGTGGTCTCTGTTTCCAGATCCCCAAAGTCCAATTGTCCCCAGAAATCCCAGCACCCCCAAGTCAGCATCTACAAACCAAGACCACAGAGCACCCCGACTCCAAACCAGCTGTGCCCACATTTCTTCTCCCTCCATCACCCTTTCAAATTGGGCGGAAGGAATTTGACTCCTGGGTCACCCCAAACAGCAGGTAAACCAGGACTCAGCACAAAATTCCAGTCAGAATCTGGGATGGGTGCTCGTTAACTTTGTAAACAGCATTGACTTTCGATCTGTGGTTGCCAAATATTTTCTTAAGCAAGCTTTGTTTTCAGGAACAATCTTACCCAAAGGTCTAATATATAAAGCAGACAAGATGCTAACAGTACCAGCATCACCCCAGCTTGAACGGCACCCCAGAGCCGCCTCCATTGTCAAGGTACGTTCTCTTAGTCCTCACAAACAGCCCTGGGAGGTGGGACACCTAAGGGCCCCTTTGCTTGAATGAAGCGACACAGACCCAGAAGACTCAGATGACCAGCAGAGGTCTCTGCTCCCACTGCCATGGTTCTCTCGCCACTGAGGGGCTGCTTTGCTCAAAGTGGGCCATGAGAAGCTCAGAAACTTCTCTGCATGGCCTCCCCTTTCAAATTCTACCCCACCTATGTGCTGCTGAAGGCATCTCCCCAGAACCTCTGGGCTACAAGGAATTCAGTTTGAACCCAATGGCTTCAGTAGATAACAAAATAATTATATAGTCCTCATTACCCACAAAGATAAGCCTTTATTGCTTTCTTCTTCTTTTTTTTTTCCTTGTTAGTTTTTCAACTGCTATCTTGGAAGTCATAGTGTGGGTCCCTTCCACCCTGACTCACTGCACCAGTGGGGCAACCCCAGCCCTCAAAGAGCTAAAGGCATAGGGAGGTCTGGGTCCCCTCCATGCACCCCCCCACCCCCAACAGACCAAAGTCAGCTCATGACACTGTGTATGTCACACAAACAAAGCCTTGAAGCCCACCTGGGCGGCTGTGTTTGGATAGCACCGCACACTTTCCAGTGCCCAGTCACAGCCCAGCCCTGGGACCCTGGCCAGGCAGGGCTCTGAGCCCAGAGAAAGGCAGGGTCTCAAGAGAGGAGAACCCAGAAGGCGAGCCAGTGGCAGGGGAGGAGAGGACTGCAGAGTTTGGGACCAGGCCCAGAGAGCAGAGGGAGAAGAGAGAAGAGGGAAGCAGGGTCAGCAGATGTGGAGGGAAGTAGCTCGGGCGCTGGGGGAGGGACAGAGGCAGGCCTGGGTGCGGGGAGGGTGGGGTTCTTGGTGCAGGACCCCCAGGCTTTGGTGGAGAAGAGTGCCTCTAGACCAAAGCCAAGAGGGACAGCTGCCCTGGGCTTTGAGGGTTGGACTGGGGAATACAGTGGGACTGGGACCCACACTTGGGAAGAAGGAGGTCACCCCTTGTGATCATCTGGGCCCCTCTGCTCCCCAGTCCTCCAGCCTCAGAGAACCACAGTAACTTCCTAGGACCTGCCCATTTCCTGGCACCCACCCCAAGCGAGGCCACCTGCCTCTCCCACCCTCTTTCAAGCCTGGTCCCCACCACCCCCCTCCAATCGTAGTGGGAGGGTGGACACCGAATCCCAGGCCTCTGGCTCTGGGGATGTCCGACAGCAGAAGGCACCCATCTTCCCAGAAGATCAGCCGGGCCTGGGTCTTGCCCCAGCCCTGAAACCCAGCCTGTTGGCTAAAAGGCTGCCAGAGGCCGGCCTTGCCAGGCTTCCGGGCCTTACCTTCACACCATCATTCTTCTTGTTTCCCCCACTCTTCCCTCCTGCGGAGGACAGAAAGTAGAGGGTTAGCAGTACCAGGCAGGGCACCAGGGCCCACAGAGCGAGGAAGAGCAGCATCCACGGGCAGCTGAAGGGCCTGGAGCCGGTTTGGCCAGCCGGGGGGGACCTCCTGGTCCCGCTCCTCCTCCCTCCGCGGTGGCCCTGGGATTGCTGCCGGCCCCCTAGGTGAGCCTGGGCTCCCCAGTTCTCAGCAATCCCAAGTATGACCCGCTGGCCCCGTGGGTTGAAGGAGGTGCCCGGGACAGCGGGGTTGCTTTTTCAGCCTGGGGATTCCCTCTGGATCCCAGTCACCACCCGTGTTGATAGTGGCCAACCCAGAGGCCTGGCTGCCCGGTCAGGGCTGGACACTCCCTGCCCACCCCGGCTGGCTCTAATTTTAGCCCCATGCTGCTGCAGAGGTCATGTGTCAGCCCTGCCTACTCACTCTGGACAGCTGCGAGCCGCATTTTGCCGGTGACAAAAAGCAGATGTCCCCTCCCCACTCCCCGCCGGGGCCCTCCCCTGCCAGAACACCCATCCCCTGCAGAAGCCTCCTACCCTCAAACTTGGGGGCCCCACGCGTGCTGCCTGTACCTAGGCTGTCCAAGAAAAACAAAACAGCAGCTCTCAAGCAGGTTCACCTCTGCAGCTTGCCCCATTCCTCATCACCTCCTGGCCGGAGCCCTAGGAGAGGGCAGTGGCCAGTACATGGCATGAAGGCCAGCCCTGCCCGAGTCCCTCAGACTTCAAGCAGATGCCGGAAGCTAAGTGAGACAAGGATCCTAAAAGTGTTTAGCGTAGTCCTGGCCCCACGTGCAGTAGGTGTTCGGGAGCTAGAAGCCGCTCCAAGTCCCTGAGGCCTGAGGGGGGCAGCGAGGGGCGGGGACCATACCAGCAGTGACTCCCCAGAAGTTCCTGGTTGGTTCAGCTCCCAGTCAGCCTCACATTTGCACCCATGACCCTTTGCAGGCTCTTGTCCAGTCTCCCTCTTGCAAAGCAAGATTGGGGGGTGGGTACCTCTGAATCCCAAAGCCGAGAAGAATGCCTGTCCATCCACCACAGGCTCTGTGGGCTGGACTGGGGTGCATGGTAAGTGGGGGAGACCTCGCCCCTCAGCCTCAATGGGCAGCCCTTCACAGCTCCTGCCTTGGGGGTCCGGCGGGCCTACTTAATCTGATTTGACAAGAGAAGGCAGACATCTGGGTCTTTCTAGGAAAGCTTCTGATTTTGAAGTGCTAGAAAGTCCTCCCAAGAATTTTTTTTTTTAAAAAAGCACTACTGTTCCCCACCCCCAACATGTAGAGATGGGAAATGCCCCCCTGGCACCTCTTTGCCATGTCAGCACTAGCGGTCTGTAGGGGCGTTGGTTGTTAAAAAAAGACTCTGACAGGGTGGCTCATCTTTCAGCTGTAGGAACTTCAGGGTCTTTGCCCTGGGGAGAGGGGGAGGCAGCTCAGAGCAGCATGAGGAACCTAAAGCTCCAGTTCCAGGGTCCCCTCCGGTCTCGTTCTCCCAGCTGGCTGCGTGGGCAGGTGGACCCTCTCCGCCTGGGGCTTCCTGGAGCAACGCTGGCTTCAGGGCCAGCCCCGGTCAGAGGGCCTCTCGGGTGAGCGCTGCTATATCTGCTCAGCTGCCTGGTCAGCTGCCCCGGGCTCTCCAGAGAGAAGCCTCTGGCGGGCGCTGGCCCCAGCACACCAACGTGCCAGGGGGAGCTTCTTGCTAAATCCTGATGCTAATCCTTCCCTTTCTCTCTTAGAGCCACATGCCACAAGGCATTGGGCAGTCCCCACCTCAACCAGGCCCGCTTTAGCCAAGGCCAAGGGCTCATACCCCGGACTCCCTGGTGACCAGCCTGGTTAAGGGTTGGTCCCACCTGCTCTCTCTGCCTCCCTCGGGTAGTGCAACCTGGTACAAGTTGAGCTCACTCACTAAAACAGATATGGAATAGGCCCCACCGCTTGGTCCCAAAGGCCACCTGAGCAGCACGGTGACTGCTTGGCACATGGTGACTCCAGGAAGGATGGGGAGCTGCAGCCCCACATCACGGTGTCCCCCCACTCCCAGGCTAGCCCAGACTAAGAAGCCCAGCACTGCGGGTGGTGGGGGAGGCAAACTGAACCTCCGCCTTCCTGGTAGGCCCTGGGCTTGCTGACCTGACCTCTCTCGACTTCTGAGTACAACTGTGTACCAAGTGCGCTATACCCCAGAGCTGATCCTTGTGGTCCCCACTCTCTCCAGCTCCCATGCCTGAGAGCCCCCAGATATCCAACATGGCAATGTCCCCACCTCCTGCGAGATACATCAGGGACTTTGAGATCCCACCACCTACCGGAAAAGTTCCTGGTGGCCAGCATGGTGGTGAGGATAGCCCCCTGCAACAGATAAGAGGGGCGAGGGGGAGAGGAGAGACAAAATGGGAGGAGCGGGAGGAGGAAGAGCGGGGACTCTAGTCAGAGAAACAGAGCCAAAGCCTGCGTCCCTGACCCTCCATCTGCCCCCACCCACAGCTGGAGCCCACCGCCAGCTCCCTGGAGAAACTGGGATGGACGAACTAGGCCTTGCTGGCGCAGCTCAGGGGATAGAGCCAGCCAGGAGCAGATATTCATAGGCCCCACCAGCCTGGCCAGAGCTGATGAATGGGCTAGAGGACACCTGCTAGAGGGGCCACCGAAGACCAAGGAAACTTCCTGGCTAGGCAAGAATGGTGGGCTCTGGGTCCCTCCACCCGCCTCAGCCCCTCAGCCCCAGCTCACTCTAGTGCAGGCTCAGCCCTCCAAGGTCCCTGGACCCAGAACCCGGAGGTGTGTGTGGTGAAACTGTCTTCTGTCAATGAGAGTGCTGGGAGGCAGTCGCTGGTGCTGTCTGACTGGGACACTTTCTGAGTCCAGCAGTTCAGGATCTTTAGATTCCAACACTTGAAGAACATCCTTGTGACAACGCCTTCCAGGGGCAGGGGTGGGACTCAGGTCTCCTGGCCTCGTGCTGCCCACTACCCCCGACCTATGTCCCTGCCCTGAGCCATGATGCCAGGCCAAGAAGCTGTTGGCCTGGGAGCAAATCAGCCGAAGTTTCAACACCTGTCAGTCAGGGTACTGGTGACTGTTCTGCTCTGACTGACTGGGGATCCCCCAGCCTTCATCTTACCTACTCCTGGAGTCCTTGGCAAGGGCTGAGGCAGACTCTGTCAGGGCCTGAGAAGACACAGGACCACTGCAGTCCCACTCTGGCTTCCAGAGCCACGATGACCCTTGTCCAAGTCACTGGGTCACTCCTCTGGAAGGGTCCACTACTGGGGCTCAAACCCCACATGGCCTCCTGCCCAGCCACTTGTCCCTGAAACCTCTCCTGAGCAATGCTGACACACTTGGAGTTCCTACTAGGAGTCAAGTTCAAGCTTCCAGAATGTCTGCCCACTCTGATGTTGCCCTGTGATACCTGCTTATTCCTCAGGGCCTCGGTTTAAATCCTTCCTTGATCCGGGAAGGTCTGGTTCCTGACCCTGCTGTACATCCCCCAGCCTCAGGGTCTGCCCCTGGACAGCACTCACCACTGCCCTGCAATGTCCTGGTCGTCTGTCTGTCCTCTCCACCGCTCATCCCCAGCCCGGACAGTAGGTGCTCAATCAACGTGCGTTGGATCAACCAGGGAAAGAACTAGCAAGTGAATCTCTTGGTCTCTGTGGAGACCCAGGTCAAGCTACTCCTGAGTCTGGGACTGTAGAAGGTGAAGATTGTGTTACCTTTAGTTTCCTCCTGGCGTTGAACTTCTTCAGGCAGTCCACGGTCTCCTGTCTGTGCATGCAAGAGGCCACGGTGGATCGGTGCTATGGGAAGAGGGGGTGTCTATGAGTGGAAGGAAGGTCTACCCAAGGACCCTCTAAAGGACTTCTTATGGGGGCATGGCTGGCATCCAATGGGACAATTCCTAGTTCTTAAGGATACTACGAAACGATCAGAACTTAGCATCCTTGGCACCAGACACTCAAAGCCAGCAGCACCCCCCAGGCACGATGCCAACCTAGAACAATCCCTCATCTTCACTTCCCCCTCAGACCACAGAGGCTCACAACCCCAAGTTAGACATACAGGTCCAGGAGGAGGGCCAGGACTCCTTGGGGGCCTGGACCTTGAGGTCTGGGGAGGCCCTCCGGAAGGGACCCTAGAGGAAGCTCACCGAGATCCATGGGTGCTTGAGGGCCTCGGCAGCTGTGATGCGCTTGGACGGGTTGATGGTCAGCATCTTATTGATCAGATCCTTGGCTTCCGGGGTGACAGTATCCCATTCCGGCGATGGGAACTGGAAGGGACAGAGGGGCCAGGTTTGCCCAGCCTAACCCAGGCCACCCCTGCGATCCCCCAGCCCCTGACTGGCAGGGGAGCAGGCAGGGGTCCTCTTGCCTGTCCACTCTGGCATCCACAAGCAAGAGCGGCTGGGGCTCCTCACCACCAGAGCGCCTCTGGGATCAGGGGTACCCCTGGCTCCAGGACAAATCAGAATAGCAATCAGAGGGAAAGGAGGCCCCTCTCTGTTATTCTGAGAATGAGCTTCTCTGGAGAGCAGCAAGCCAGTAGTATGGCCCAGACTTCCAAACCAGAAGGCCTGGGTTCAAGTCCCGACTCTGCCTCCTGGGCTGTGTGACCTTGAGCATGTCACGTGACCCCTGCCTCTAGAATTGCTTCAAGGACTAAACACATGGCATGTGACTAGGTGGGTGTGAGCCATGCAGAAAAGCTTGTCAGAAGCAAGGGCTCCAGTACAGGCTGCCTGGGTTCTAATCCCAGCCACCCATTTCTTAGTTATTTGATCTAGGCAGTGCTGTAACTACACTGTGCCTCAGCTTCCCTAACTGTAGAATGGGGTAACAGCAGTAGCTATGTCATAGGTCAGGGTGTTTGTGTAATAACACATACAAGGCATTTAAAAGAATGATGTAAGTGTTTTACCTTGTATTATTATGTAGCTATAAATGTATAATATATCATACATACCTACTATATTTTATATAGTATATATAACATAAATAGTTTATTAAATATATTATTTGTGGGCCCTCCCTGGTGGCGCAGCGGGTTAAAGCACAGCACTGAGAATCTAAAGCCGCTTCCGCATGAGTTCGATTCCCGCCTGCCCCGGAGGTGACCACATGGCGTGGCAGACCTCTCCTGACCCGCCCGCTGCTCCCCTCAGCAGTGTACTTTGTCGATCTGCCTGTTCTGTTCCCCACTCTGTCTCTGGTGAAGCCTCTCACCGTCCCTGAGCCTCTGGCCTGTACCCCAGTTCTGTATGCACAAATAAATAAATCTTTAAAAATATATATATATATTATTTGTGTGTGTGTAAAGAGAGAGAGAGAGCTCATCTGGTTCCTGGGGTCTATCCTCTTACCCCTTTAGGACCTGTAGGGTCTCATGAGGTAAACCCATCTCCTAGATCCCCAGCAGTACTGCAGTGCCTGGCCCCAGTCTGTCTTCCAGCTCCACCTGCCCGCCCACAATAGAGACTGGGGAGGGACTTGGGGGGGGGGCGGGGATGGGAGGGCAGGAAGAGGTCCCTGCTTGGGGGGCTTTCATGGAAGGGCCCAGGGGTGGAGAAGGGAGCAACACTCACATCATAGGCGCCGGCTTTGATCTGCTGGTACAGGCGATGCTGGTCCTCATCCCAGAAAGGGGGGTATCCAACCAGCAGGATGTACAGGATGACACCTGGGGACAGGAGCAGGACAGCCTCAGCCCCCTGAGAAGAACATGGTGGGAGCGATGGGAGAGGAGGCAGTGCTGAGGTGCAGGCAGCTGGGTAGCAAGGTGCCTCTGGGGGACTCACCGCAGGCCCACAGGTCCACGGGCTTGCCGTAGGGGTCCTTCCTCAGCACTTCTGGGGAGAGGTATCCAGGTGTCCCTGCGAACCCTGCCCCCCAGACACACACACAGGCAAACACACAAAGGTTGGTATGTAAGTAACTTCCAGCAAGATCCTGCCAGAGGAGGGGTTGGGGTGGCTCTGGAGAGGGGGGATCACTCGCTGCCCCCTCCTCCTGGGGCACCCAGGACAGGAGACAGCCCTGCCAGGTAAACCAGCAAAGCCTGCAGACCAGGGCAGACAAGCACATGACACCTGGTCGCCACCCACACTGCAGAGCCTGTGGCAGAAGTGACTGATGGCGCAACAGGTTAAAGCGCAGCACTATGAAGCTCACCACAGCCACTGCAGCACGTCAATTCCAGGCCAGGGAGCTGACCCACATGGCACAGCAGACCTCTCCTGACCCCCTGCTGCTCCCCTCAGCAGTGTATTTCAGTTATCTGCCTGTTCTGTTCCCCATTCTCTCCCCTCTACCTCTGGTGAATACTATCACCATCCCCACAACCGCACCTCTGGCCTGTACCCCAGTTCTTATATGCATAAATAAATAAATCTTTTTTTAAAAAAAGAAAGTGACTGATGAGGCCTTGAAAGCGTAAGATACTTCACAACCTCCTCATGGCCACCACAGTTCAGTTGCTGGTGGCACTATCCCTGCCTGTCAGTTCCAGCCTGAGTTGAACCCCGATCTACTCCCCACTACCCCACTATACTGACAGTGGATCCCAGGAAGGCCTGACCCCAACTCTATCTCTTGGGTAGATCTCTTACCCTTGGGTCTTCAGTTTCCTTGTCTGACGAATGAGTGATTAGGATTCCTAACTGAAATACCTCCCGGTACTGTGGGGAGGATGAAAGGAAAGAGCAGATTTCCCAAGTAATCGTAACAGTAGTTGCTCTTACTAGAGTGTATTGAGCCTTGAGCTGAGCACTTAACACACCTGGTCACAATGTTCGTTCACAATGTTCGTTCACACAGCCCTGAGGAATGGATTTATTTACCCCATTTTACAGGTGAGGAAAACAGTCTCAGAGAGATGAAGTGGCTTGCCCCAAATCACCCGGCTCATAAGTAGCAGGGCTGAGTTTTGAACCCAGAGTTCTGGCTCTTCATCACTAGTCAATATTGCCCACAGGAAAGAATCCCCAGACAGCTGAAAAAACGCGATTACATCCCAACCCAGGGGGAGGGCTGCCTGATCTCACATCCCAGCTCTTCCCCTCTGAAGTTCCCTTAATCTTCTCCAAGTTTCATTGCCTCTGCTCATAGGTAGAATTGGGATAAAAATCTCTGGCACCCAAGCAGGTAGGGGAGCCCCATAGAACCTCCAGACACGTTCTGTTGTAATGATAATCATGGCCCCAGGAAGATGGGCATCACCACTAATCCAGAGAGTGGGAGGCCGGGACCTGCTCCAGGCGCCAGGGCACAGTCCCATCCCATTCAGCCGGGCTTAGTCAGAGGCCCCCAGAGGCCCAGTTATCAGTGCAAGTTTGGTCCTGTCACCCCTTCCCCCAGCACCACTCACCGAACCACGCCTGCTGCTCCCCCTCCACCTCTATGGCCAGGCCAAAGTCCGCCAACTTCACTGCAGCACCCTTGAGCTTGGAGGCCAGCAACAGATTCTCCGGCTTCCCAGGAGCAGAGCAGAGAGTGAGAAGTAGGGGGGAAGGGGAGAGGGTGGGGGGAGGACCAAGAGGACAGTGAATGGCTTTAGAACCTCACCTTGGGGAGCCTGGGCTTGACAAGAAGAGTAGCCAGACAATCTAGAGGTGCCCTGCCCCCACCTCCCGTCCCAACCGCAGGATCCCAGAGGGGATACAGAGGGGACTAGGGCACAACCTTGGGATCTGCAGCTGGAACGCTCTTGCTCCACCAACCAGGCACTCCTGGCCCTCTCTTCAGGGACAGAAGTTGGGGTTCAGAAAGCACAGGGGGCCGGGGGACAGCTACCACAGTAAGGAAGAAGCAACATTTATTGTGCCCCAACTGTGTGCCAGACGCTGGACTAAGTGTTTTGGCATCTCATTTACCATCTCAACAGATGAGGTCCTCACCCCCATTCTCCACAGGGGCCTTCCTATATCCCCTGAAACAGCCACACTCTTCCCACCTCAGGGCCTTTGCACTGCCTGTCCCCACTGCCGCATTGGCTCCCCTGTGAGCGCACCTTCACATCACCTCCTCAGAGAAGCCCTCCAGGATACTCTAGCTGAAGGGGGAATCCACAGACCGTCTGTCTGGCTCTAGCCCCTTGTCGTTACCTTCACAGACCTCATGACTGGTTTTTCCCCATTTGTCCAAGTGCTTGCTTCTCATCTGTCACCCCTTGTCCTGACAAATGCCAGCACCTAGGACAGTGGGCAGCATGAAGTAGGTGCTTCAGAAGTATTTGTCAAATGTATAGAGATGAAGACACTGAGGCTCAGAAAGGTTCAGTGACTTGACCAAAATCACACAGCTAGTAAATGATCCATCAGGCTGGAGACAGCGTGACTCTAGAATTCCGCTCTTCGGACCAAGAGGCCACTGGGGCATTGAGGCGGATGCCTTCCGCTGGCCTGGGGGACAGGAGAGCCTCTCCTGAGGAGAGATAAATGTGGACTCTGCAGTTAGATACCCCTGACTCTGTCTGACCCAGAGCTGCCACGTCTATCTGGAACTCGGGCAAGTAACTTACTCTCTGAGCTTCCTCTGGAAAAGTGGGAAGTGCATGCATAGGTTAATTGTGACAATCCGCACTTGGCAGTGGCCTACAGCAAGTGCTGGGTGACACTGACTTCTGGTTGGGGAGGGGCTCCGAGTCTCTGGAGACAGCTGGCTTCCTGTCCTCCTCTGACCCTTTCCCCACCGGCAATTCTGAGGGGACCGTATCTGGCCTTTCGCTGTCCAAACCTAGATGGGACCAAACCAATACAGCCCCATCTGCCCATCGTTTAGGCCGCTTTAGTCCTCTGGGGGCTGCGTTCCCAGAGTGTCCCAGGTCTCGGTAGCTGTCCTGTCCTGGTTTGATGAATGTGCCACTAATTAATCTACCCCGAGTGTCCTAAATTTGTGGTGCCTCTGCACCGCCCTCCTCCTGTGCGGGGCTGTAGCTATAACGGGAACAGGCCCCTCGGGAAGGCCGCCTGCTGTCTGGACAGAGACCCTGTCCCGCAATGCCCTTGCCTCCCTGGGCTCAGGTGAGAAGCCAGAGATGGCAGGTGACATCAGTGGTGGGTTAAAATACACAACAGGGAAAAGAAGACAAACAAATATTCAAGCAAGTCCACAGGGGGAAAATTCAACACCAAAAGATCAGGCAACAGAAACCACCAAAGAAACAGAAGAACTGTTCAACCTATCAGATAAAGAATTCAGAATCATCATGACAGACATCAGTGGTGGGAAGGCTCTGTTCAGACACTGCACCCCAAACAGGGACCTGGGCCACTGGGAGCAGGCCTGGCTGTGGAAATTATGCCTTGGGTAGGGGCTGGGATCAGCCTGCAGAAGACTTCAGGGGCCCAGCAAAGCGGCCTGTGTGATTCTAGGGCTGTTCTCAGTGGAAGTCTGTCCTGTATGGTCTTGAAAGACTCACAAAGGAAACCCCAACACAAGAAGACAAGAAGGAGGCTTTTCCAAAGGCCAAGGGACTAGCCCATAGGGAGTGAGTTTGTAGTCACTGAAGGTGAAAAAACAGTTTCCATGGGCAACTGGAGGCCACCAGAAGGGGCAATCGCAGGAACAGTTGGCTTGAGGTGGGCTGGCTTGAGTGCTTGTTTGGCCTGAGACCGCCGAAGGCACAGGATGAGGGGCCAGAGGCCATGGCTGCAGCCCCAGCACAGACACACAGACAGGATGTATTCTCAGGCAAGCCCCTTGGACTTCATCTCCTGCTCTGCAAGACGAAGGGATGTTTGGAGCTACCAGCTCCTGAGGGCCAGACAGAGGAGAGCCAACAGGCGTGTGCTGACAGACAGCCTCATCAGAACTTTCAAGGCCCCAGCCCTCACTCCATGCCCCTGCAGCAACCCCCCTTCCTGGGTTCCACCCCACCCTCCACCTCCCTCTGGGCCCTTCTCCCCCAAACAGCCCCAGTCTGGAGTTTGAGCAGCAGGCAGGACACAACCGACATGATCACAGCTCATGGTGCTCTGGAAGCCTGGGGCAGGGCCCACTGTCATTTGTAATAGACTTTATTTTTTTAACTTCAAGCTCTTGAACCCACACCTGCCTAGTCCTGTGCCTTTCCATCTTCAGGTGGAAAGAAGAGGACGCTGAGGGCCAGAGGCATTTTCTTCTCCCTGACTTGCCAGAGACCGGGGCTGAGTACCGACAGACTGAGCACAGGGTGCTGTTTGCTTCAACAGCCCCAGCCCCACTGTGAGGCCCCCAAGGCTGCGTGCGGAAGGACAGCGAATCTGGACACCTTCAC